ATCCAATCCGAGAACACAGAATGTATTTCCATTTCTTTGTATCTTCTTCGATTTCTTTTAACAAGGTCTTACAGTTTTCATTATATAGGTCCTTCACGTGTTTTGTTAAATTTACTCCTAGGTATTTTATTCTTTTTCTTGCTATTGCAAAGAAATTATTTTTTCCTCTTCTTTTTCTGACACTTCATTATTAGAGCATAAGAACACTATGGATTTTTGAACATTGATTTCGTATCCAGAAATTTTACTGTATTTACATATTGTTTGATGATTGTTTCAATTTCTATACTACTGATTGGTCTATTTAGATTTTCCAATTCTTCTTGATTCAGTCTAGGAAGGTTGTACCTTTCTAAGTACTTGTCCATTTCTTCTAGGTTATTAAATTTGTTGTTACATATTTTTTCGTAGTATTCTCTTGTACGATCCTTTGTATTTCTGCGGTGTCTGTCCTAATTTCTCCTCTTTCATTCCTGATTTTGTTTGTGTCCTTCCTCTTTATTTTTTTTAGTGAGTCTAGCCAGGGATCTGCCAATTTTATTAAACATCTCAGAGAAACAGCTCCTCGTTGCATTTATTTTTTTCTATTTTTTTTTCAATTTCATTTAATTCTGCTCTAATTTTGATTATTTCTTTCCTTCTGCTGACTTTAGGCTTCATTTGTCCTTCCTTTTCTAGTTTTTTAAGATGAAGCAATAGGTTGTTTATTTGGACTCATTCTTGTTTTTTGAGATAGGCCTGTAATGACATGAACTTTCCTCTTATGACTGCTTTTGCCATGTCCCAAAAGTTTTGATGTGTTGTACTGTCATTATCATTTGTTTCTATATATCTCTTGATTTCCCTTTTAATTTCTTCTCTGACCCAGTCATTCTTCAATAGCATGTTGTTTAATCTCCATGTATTTGTGGTTCTTCCCGCTTTTTTTCTATGATTGATCTCCAGCTTCAATGCATTATGATCAGAGAATATGGTTGGTGTAATTTCAACCCTCTTATATTTGTTGAGGCTATCTCTGTGTCCCAGTATGTGGTCAATCCTTAAGAATATTCCATGTGCACTAGAGAAGAATGTATAAGCAGCTGTTTTGAGATGCAAGGCTCTGTAAATGTCAATTATGTCCAGTTGGACTAATGTGTCATTTAAAGATGTTATTTCCTTATTGATTTTCTTTTTGGATGATCTATCCATATACAACAGTGGAGTATTTATGTCCCCGACTATGATAGTGTTTTGGTCTTTTTCTCCCTTTAGTTCTGTTAGTAATTGCTTTACATATTTTGTGGCTCCCTAATTGGGAACATAGATATTAAGTGTTATGT